CCTCGCTGGGCCTCGGGGCCGACTAAAAAGACGACCCAGGACGAGCAGAGCGGCCCCAGGGAAGCCAACGCTCCCCAAAATTGGGAGCGGCGGGTTTCGGGCTGCTTTCGGCCTCCAGGGGCCCTCGCAGGGCCTCTGGGCCAGCAAAAGACGACCCAGGACGAAAAGTCGGCCCCAGGGAAGTGGTCCAGACCTCCAGGGCCCACGCCTCGAAAAAGTTGGAGCGGCCAGATGTCTGGGACGGTGGCAGAGGAGGTGGTTGGCGGCGCGCAGAAGGGGGCGGAGGGAGGGGGGAAGGCTTCTTAGACGGAGGCTGCTTCTTAGAAGGCGCCTGCCTTGCATCGGTAGATCAGGCCCGCGTCGTCTAAGAAGCAGGGGTGCTTCTAAGAAGCCTTCCTCCCCCTCCCGCCCCCCTCTGCGCGCGGTTGAGGTGGAGGCAGAAATGGAGCTCCTCTTCCTCCTGCCGCGTAACCACAGGTTTCTGCGGCAGCTCAGGGGGCCTCCCATACCATCTTGGTGGCCCTTGCTGATCGTCGCTGAGCTGGCGCTAGAACAACGCTAATCAGCGCTAATCGGGGCTAGTCGGCGTTGCCTCATTGATCACCAGGCGCTAGCGCAAGCGAGTGCACTCTAAAGACGGATTTGCGAGGACATGCAAGGCTCCTATGATGTGCTACCAAGAGTATCCTGGTCATCAGCCACTGTAGCGCATGATCTGAAGCGGACCGCGGGCAGGATACTTCTAGCCTCCAAATGGAGCTCCTTCTCCTCCTCCTCCTTCTCCATTCCGTGTCCGTGCACAGACAGCCCCTCACTGCCAACAGTCACTCGCTGCAGACGTGTCATTCAACACTTGAGGATCGCAACGCAGATGAAATTGATCATTTGAACTCTGCCTGCGGCTAGCTACTCTGGGTAAGAACCGCTACGACCAACCTTGAACCTGTACAGCTCCGCCCTTTCTCACCCCCAGGCGATTCGGTGGTAGTTTTCAAACTTTGGCTCTCGCCTGAGCGCAGCGCGCATTCGTATTTTAAGTTTGCAGCAGTTGTAATGATGGAGGGGGGACCTTTCAAAACTGACCTCTCGCCTCGGCGTCGTGCGCTTTCGTTCTAAACGCCAGCAGCAGCTACAAAGATGGATGGGGTGGGGTCGAAATGGGCCTCTTGCACTCGCACTGCGCGTATTCGTCGTGCAAATCTGCAGAAGCTGTGTAAGGGTGGAGGGCGGCCGGTCTTCGAAACGTGTCTTCCGCCGTGTCGCCGCGCACAGTCATCCTAAAAGCACGCGACAATTACAAGGGCGAAAGGCCTTTCCTTTTCAAGAAGGGGCTCTCCTTTCTGGGACTTCCATAAACCTAAAAACCAAAAGCTTGAACATGAAAAACAGCTGCGCGGATGGAAAGCGGTTTCGTTTCAAAAGGGAGCTCTCGCTTGATACCTCCTCGAAGCCCATGGCCAGAAGCGTATCCGCCGCCGTGCCTGCGAGGCACGAGTTGGAGTGTCCTCAGGTCCCTTGCTCAATCCCCTGAGTCAGTCCTCAACCCTGAAGATCTCTCGAGGGGCCCGAGGCTCCAAATTCTCAGCTCGCCCAAAGGCTTCCTGGGCGCCCTGCGCATTTTCCAGCACGACTTTCTCGGGCCCGAAAGGGCCCACAGACGGACAAAGAGGGGCCCACGAGGCGTCTGACCTACAACCAAGGCGCGGCACGGTGGCGGGAGTGGCCGACTGCCACTGGACATTGGCGCAGCGGTTACATCGATGGGGCGGATCTTTTTCAAAACGGAGATCTCGCTGGACACCTCGTTGAAGGGTATGGTGATACCTTTACCTGTTCTGGAAGATCAACATTAGTCGATGGAAAGATGCAATGCGGTTACTGTTCAAAACAGGGCTTACGCCTGAATGGCAAGCCCATGGGAAGTTAAAGTGGGCAAATTGTTGAAGGGGGCGCTCAAAGATGCTCAAAGTAGTGAAAATAACGGTTGGTAGGGACTTGTAGGAAGGGGACTTGTTACGGGAGGGTGTGCTGCAACATCGTTGGTGCATCTTCGGCTTCCGCTGATATTCCTCATCATCCTCCGCTGCGTCCTCCTCCTCTTCCTCGTCCTCCTCCTCCTCCTCCTCCTCTTCCTCCTCAGTCTTCTCCTCTTCGTCCTCCCCCTCCCCCTCCCCCTCCCCCTCCTCCTCTTCCTCCTCCTCCTCCTCCTCCTCCTCCTCCTCCTCCTCCTCGTCCTCCTCCTTATCGTCGTCCTCCTCCTCCTCCTTCTCCTCCTCCTCCTCCTCCTCCTCCTCCTCCCCGTCTTCTCTCCACCCTCAGCCCCCCCCACACACTCCTCCCTCCCCTGGGCGGCGCGCCAGGTGCCTCCGTCCTCCCCGTGCTTTTTTCGCCGTCGCCCCGAAGATTTCGACGCCTTCTCCTGCCGCGCTCTCGCGGAAGGTGGGGGTCGGGCAGGGAGGAGGCGGAGGCGAGCGCGGGAGAGCGGAGCAGGAGGAGCAGGAGGAAGAGGCGAGCAGAGGAGCAGGAGAGCGGAGGCGGGGAAGGCAGGAGGAGCAGGGGGCGAGTGCGGAGGAGGAGGGGGGAAGGGGGACGAAGGGGAGGGGTAGCGGGAGGAGGTGGAGGAGGCTGACCATAGAGACTGAGAAAAGAAGGACGAGGATGAGCTGTGGACCGTGTGCCAAGACGAGCCCTGCCGCGCCAGCGAGGGAACACGCCTTCAACCTGGCACGCACAGGTTCTTCGCTCCGGTCACGTCGACAACCCAGGCACTGGTGGCAGCAAATCTCCCCCACCAAGTGAACCTGCCCGCTCTCGCAGCAGGGACCCCTTTGCACGGGTTGGGCAATATGGCAGGCCCGTTGTGAGCACCTCGCGATCCCTGCACCAAACGGGATCTCTGGTCAGCCAGAGACAGCGGCTGGAACGCGCCCGAACATTCCCAGAGGGAGCCCCTCGCAACGCACTGCCAGCATGTCGCCCCGCCTGCCCCAGCTCCTGCTACACCGTTGGCACACTTGCCAAAAAACAGAAAAGGTTGCCAGCTTGTGATTCGTCGGTCTGCTGTAGATCCGAGTGATTCTGCGGGCCGCTTTGCCCAGCGGGCGGTCGCCCCGTTGGGGACGTGGAGCTGGGTACAGCGTGGTGGGGCAGATGCTCCCCCCCCGAGGAGGCGGCCCACCTGGACTTTGGATCCCTGGTATGCGGATTCGACTAATTTGGAGGGCGGCTCCAGTCCTCGGGAGAACTGGCGTCTTGAAAATTCTCATCATGTCCCAAGCAATAGAAGCCGGTTCCGAACAAACAGGAAAGGAAGGTTTCTTGTGGGACCTCCTCTTGAAGATGAGGTGGGGCCAGGATCCAAACACTTTCCAACACAACCTCATCGTTTGGAACCTCCTCGATATATACTGGGGTGTAAAGAAGGCACAACAAGGCACATCGTGCCAAGCATCATCTCAAATATGATGCGCACTGAACTACAAGCATGGCTTAAGCAAGCGATTGGCGCGGGCTTTCCTCTCAAGGGAAACGTAACTCTGTGCTGTGGGAGAGAGAGAGAGAGAGAGCAATAACAACAAGCAAGAAAAACATATAGGCACAGGCACGTCACAGGCAGGCGAACCGCGTGGGCCTTCCCATCAGTGGTGGTGTATGCTGGGGTGCAGGCAGGGCGCAAAAAACCAGCGGTACGGATTCAACAAAACTCAAGTCGTGCTGCCAACATCATGTTTGCTAGCGGCGACGGCGGAGACGACCGGCTAAATTTGGCAACGCTCCCATCGAGCCCAGGAACAACATCGTATGAGAACGGGCGCGCGTGGCAGGGCGAGTAGTCGCCCCGTCAGGGGCGTGGAGCCTGGCACAATGCGATGGGGCAAACGATTCCCCCGCGGGGAGGCGGGCCATTGGACTCTGGACCCCAAAGCAAAGCTTCGATTGAGCCAAGCGGGATGGCGATCACAAAACGGGGGAAACCTCACAAACGCTGGCGCATAGAAGCCAATTCCACTGAAGAAGAAAAAACGCATTTCGCGTGGGACTTCCTCTTAAGCATGATGATTGATTGATTGATTGATTGATGTTTGATTGATGATTGATGATTGATTGATGGGTGATCGATGGTTGAGCGATGACTAGCGTGAAGATTGATTGGTTGATTGATTGATGACAAATAAATGGATTCCAGCGAACAGAAAATAATAGTTAAACATGATTTGAGCGGCGACAACAGGCGGGTCTTACGCAGAACGACACAGCGACCTCACGCCACGGCTCACGCGGGCCGCCAGCGTGGCCCCCACCGCGCGGAGAAGATGGCGCCTTGCGCGCGACTTTACGCAAGAAGCTCACGCGCGAATGCTGGCGTAGTCGAGCACGTGGTTCTTCACAGCTGATTTGGAGCTGGATTCAAACAAGCTCCCAACTAACAAATTCTCCGGCGGGACGAAAGTTTGGGCCCATTTGCCTTTCCCAATGGAGTTCCCTCGCGCCGTCGCGGAAGCATTTTCCATGCGTCGAAAAACAGTTACTACCGATTAAAATCAGTAGGAGTTGGACCAAAACAAGTTCCCAACAAACGAATCGTGGGACAGCCTTTCCACAAGAATACGCCCAGAAGTGCAAACTGTACAATAAGCAAATCGCGCGGGACCTAATCTTGCCGTGGAGAATTCTTTCTGTCTGCTTGAAATTGGAGCCGGGCCAGTGGGCGAGACCGGACTGTGCCAAAAACTCCGCTCTGGGGTCCGATCCTGATCATCTGGGAACAAGCCGTCCGGATCTTCGTTGTGCCAGAACTCCACTGCCAGGCTTCATTGTCATCATCCTGGTGCAACCCTGACCTTGACAGCTGGTCGCAACAATTTGCCGCCAGAACTACGCTCCCAGGCCTGATTATGATTATCGGGGCGCATCCCTTGCAGCAGGTCGTAACATCGTGTTGCCAGAACTCCGCTCCTGCGCCTGATTCTAATCATCCAAGTACGTACAACCCTTACAGCGGGCAACTCTGTGTTGCCAGAACCACCCCCGGGGCTGAATTTGATCATCTGGTGCTAACCCTCAAGCGTGTCCTGCTCTTTTTATTGCCAGAACTCCACTCCCCAGCCCGGTTTTGAGGGTCCCGAGCCACCCCTCCAACGGCTGATGCTCGCTGCCAAAACTCAACTTCTGGGTCCCATGTTGAGTGTCCTGGGCAAAACCTCTAGCGCAGGCTGCTGTTCGTGCACTCGTGGTGAAGCTACGCTCCAGTACAAGCCGAAGCTCCAGTTCCAGCTCCAGCCCAGCTCCAGGTGGAGCTGCAGCCCCAGCTCCACTCCAGCGCCAGCTCTAGCCCCAGCTCCAACCCCAGCCTCAGTCCCACCTCAAGCCCCAGCTCCAAATCCAGCGCCGGTCTAGCTTCAGCCCCCGTCAAGCTCCAGCTCCCGCTTCAGCCCAACGTCTCTCCAGTTCCAGCTCCAGCTCCAGCCTGAGCTCCAGCCCCAGCTCCAAGCCTAGCTCCAGCTTCGCTCGAACCCAGCTCCAGCTCCAGCCCCAGCCCTAAGTCCAGGCCCAGCTCGTTTTCCAGCTTGAGCTCCAGCTCCAGCCCTGGCTTCAGCTCCAGACCCAGCTCCAGACCCAGCTGCAGCCCCAGCTCCAGCCCCAGCCTGAGCTCCAGCCCCAGCTCCAAGCCTAGCTCCAGCTTCGCTCTAACCCAGCTCCAGCTCCAGCCCCAGCTCTAAGTCAAGGCCCAGCTCGTTTTCCAGCTTGAGCTCCAGCTCCAGCCCTGGCTTCAGCTCCAGACCCAGCTGCAGCCCCAGCTGCAGCTCCAGCCCAGATGCAGCTCCAGCCCAGCTCTAGCTTAGCTCCAGCTCCAGCTTCTCTCCAGCTCCAGCTCCAACTTCAGCCCAAGTTCAATCCTGCCCAGCTCCAGGCCCAGCTCCAGATCCAGCCCAATTCCAGCTCAGCCCCAGCTGCAACCCCAGCTCCAGCCCAAGCTCCAGCTTCAGCCGAGCTCCTGCCCAGCTCCAGGCCCAGCCCCAGATCCAGCCAAGCTTGAGATCAAGCCCCAGCCTTTCGAGCGTCATCCTGATCAGTTTTGCTTATTTTCCAAATTCCATGTTGTATATTGCTTGGCCCATACCTCACAGCTAATATCGCCCAACTTGAATTGTCTTATCCGAATTGCATGCCCAAGTGATGTGTCCCAGCGTGCAGGCTCCAAAACGTAACATGACATCAGCAACGCTTGCGAACACACGCATTCCGTACAACACCGCGCGTTTCTACTTGCAGGCGATTTCCAAATACAACTCCAGCACACCGATCTGCTCGTTAGCAGACGCAACCTTGCAAAACAACACCGGCTGTTACCTAACAGCGAAGACTGATAGGTTTCTAGTGGGGTCAAAAGAGAGCAGCAGATTTGATGCTGATGCAGAGGCTGAGAATGGTGATGCTGATGCTGAGGCTGAGGCTGAGGCAGGCAGGCTGAGGCTGATGAGGCTGAGGCAGGCTGAGGCTGAGGCCGAGGCTGAAGGCAGGCTGAGGCAGACGCTGAGGCAGGCTGAGGCTGAGGCAGGCTGAGGCTGAGGCTGAGGCTGAGGCAGGCTGATGCTGAGGCAGGCTGAGGCTGAGGCTGAGGCTGAAGGCAGACTGAGGCTGAGGCAGGCTGAGGCAGACGCTGAGGCAGGCTGATGCTGAGGCAGGCTGAGGCTGAGGCTGAGGCTGAGGCTGCAGGCTGAGGCTGAGGCGCTGATGCAGGCTGATGCTGAGGCTGAGGCTGAGGCAGGCTGAGGCAGGCTGAGGCAGGCTGAGGCTGAAGGCAGGCTGAGGCTGAGGCTGAAGCAGGCTGAGGCTGAGGCTGAGGCAGGCTGCAGGCTGAGGCTGAGGCAGGCTGATGCTGAGGCAGGGTGAGGCTGAGGCTGAGGCTGATGCAGGCTGAGGCTGAGGCAGGCTGAGGCTGAGGCCGAGGCTGAAGGCAGGCTGAGGCTGAGGCTGAAGCAGGCTGAGGCTGAGGCTGAGGCAGGCTGAGGCTGAGGCTGAAGCAGGCTGATACTGAGGCAGGCTGAGGCTGAGGCAGGCTGAGGCACAGAGGCTGAGGCTGAAGGCAGACTGAGGCTGAGGCTGAAGCAGGCTGAGGCTGAGGCTGAGGCAGGCTGAGGCTGTGACTGCGACTGCCGCTGCCACTGCGACTGTCATCGAGAATGCGACTGCGACTGCGAGAACAGCAGAACTCTACAACTGGATTCTCATCTGAATCTTAAGGGGAATGCTTCCATATATGCTTCTACACATCGCTGTTAGGTTGCTTTGCCGGGATACTTTGCTCCCAACCCTCCTGTGTTGGGTAGTCGTTTTGAATAGAGCAGTGTGGTCGCCACGTCCTTCCTTCCTTCCTTCTCCCCCTCTCCTCCCCTCCTCCTTCTCTCCTGTTTCCTGTGTTCCCTTCTCCTCTTCTCTCGTGCCGTCTGCGATCTGCGCAACTGTCGCCACTTTCGTGGGCTCCTGGGAGGCCCAGCGGAGGTGGGTCCCACGCGGATCACCTTGGTACCTCGCCGCCCCCTAGGGGGCTTGCGATCTGCGCAACTGTCGCCACTTGCGTGGCCTCCTGGGAGGCCCAGCGGAGGTGGGTCCCACGCGGATCACCTCGGTACCTCGCCTCCCCCTGGGGGGCTTGCGATCTGCGCAACTGTCGCCACATTCGTGGGCTCCTGGGAAGCCCAGCGGAGATGGGTCCCACGCGGATCACCTCGGCATCTCGCCGCCCCCTGGGGGGCTTGCGATCTGCGCAACTGTCGCCACTTTCGTGGCCTCTTGGGAGGCCCAGCGGAGGTGGGTCCCACGCGGATCACCTCGGAACCTCGCCACCCCCTAGGGGGCTTACGATCTGCGCAACTGTCGCCACTTTCGTGGGCTCCTGGGAGGCCCAGCGGAGGTGGGTCCCACGCAGATCACCTCGGAACCTCGCCGCCCCCTGGGGGCTTGCGATCTGCGCAATTGTCGCCACTTTCGTGGGCTCCTGGGAGGCCCAGCGGAGGTGGGTCCCACGCGGATCACCTCGGTACCTCGCCGCCCCCTGGGGGGCTTTACGATCTGCGCAACTGTCGCCACTTTCGTGGGCTCCTGGGAGGCCCAGCGGAGGTCGGTCCCCGCGGATCACCTCGGTACCTCGCCGCCCCCTGGGGGGCTTGCGATCTGCGCAACTGTCGCCACTTTCGTGGGCTCCTGGGAGGCCCAGCGGAGATGGGTCCCACGCGGATCACCTCGGTACCTCGCCGCCCCCCGGGGGCTTGCGATCTGCGCAACTGTCGCAACATTCTTGGCCTCCTGGGGGGCCCAGCGGAGGTGGGTCCCACGCGGATCACCTCGGTACCTCGCGATCTGCGCAATTGTCGTCACTTTCGTGGGCTCCTGGGAGGCTCAGCGGAGGTGGGTCCCACGCGGATCACCTCAGTACCTTGCCGCCCCCTGGGGGGCTTGCGATCTGCGCAACTGTCGCCACTTTCGCTGGCTCCTGGGAGGGCCAGCGGAGGTGGGTCCCACGCGGATCACCTCGGTACCTCGCCGCCCCCTGGGGGGCTTACGATCTGCGCAACTGTCGCCACTTTCGTGGGCTCCTGGGAGGCCCAGCGGAGATGGGTCCCACGCGGATCACCTCGGTACAAACACGCGCCAGGTTGCGCACCATGCCATGGCCTGAGTATGCCTTGCAACGCAGGCAGACCACGAGCGAGGCACCATCCGAGCAATCGAGATTAAATACACGGTGCTGGAGCCTGGCCAGGGCTTCGGGGTCAAGCTTCCCCCAGGAGGACCGACACGGGCCACAGGAAACCGTAAGAGAGAGCCCCAATGCGCCCCGAGAGGGTGTCGATGAGGCTCCAAACTGCCCAAGAAGAGCCCAAGGCAGCCCAAGGGGGCCCCAAGACGAACCCAGATGGCTCCGAGATACGCCAAAATGCCACACTTGCAGGTTAGATTCCTGAAAGAAGACCCGCCGTTGTTTTCGGTTTGCGGGTCCTATATCATCACTGTGGCGGATTGACAGTAGAAGCGTTGGCAGCGGATTGCTGGCTGCACTCCTCGGTCGGCGTCTCCTCCCACCACTCGTCGTCCTTCTTTTTCTTCGACCGGGATGACTTCGACGGCGCCTCCTCAAGGGACCGATGAAGACGAGAGCCCGAGTGGGGGCATTGATATAGTGTACTGATGCGGTTCCCCCAGAAGCTGCGAAGGCGAGAACGCTTCCTGGAGTACATTCGGGGGAGGGACCCTGTTCCAGAATCCTCGAACATCCCAAGGCTGAATGAAGGACCTGCTCGCTGGCGAAGATATCGAATAACCCGAGAGGTGTTGGTCCTTCCAGTCCGAATGAACATCCATGGATCCTCGGCACAAGACGTACCACCGCTGCAGAAACGACTGCCTTCTCGCACGCCGCTGCGCAACGCCGTCGCCTTCAAAGCGTCTTGTGATGTACCTCCGTGTCCTTTCTCCTGTGGGCCTGCAGGGTTCCGCTGAGTGGGCCACGCAATGTTCGCCTGCGATGCTCGCAAGAAACATGTGGCCCTAGAGAAAGAACAGCAGAAACGATAACTGGCCAATGGCAAGGAGACGAGGATAGCCGGAGATGTGTGAATACGCGAATGCACCACAAGATGTGCGCACATTGTCAGGGGCACCTTTGGCCATCAGGGTCCCACGCTTCTAACACGAGGCAAGCAATGCGTGTAAATACAGTTAACTATGTGTTCACGTACATATATATATATATATATATGTATACACATGTACATGTGTATATATGTATGTGCATACAGACCAGACAGAACATCCATACCTACATACATACATACATACATACATACATACATGCATGCATGCATGCATGCATGCATGCATACATACATACACACATTACATTACATTACAGTACAGTACATTTCATTACATTACATTACATTACATTACATTACATTGCATTACATTACATTGCATTACATTGCATTACATGGCATTACATTGCATTACATTACATTACATTACACTACATTACACTACAGTACATTACATTACATTACATTACACTACATTACATTACATTACACAACACAACACACAGACAAACAGACAGACAGACAGACAGACAGACAGACAAACAGACCGACAGGCAGACAGACAGACAGACAGACATGCCTGCATGCATGCATGCATGCACACATACATAACATGACATGGTATGACATAACATAACATAACATACAATAACATAGCATAACACACATACACACTGGAATGATTCGCGCGCTTCGTGCGCGTTCAGGCTCTAACTGTCGTGGAGAATAGCGAACAGCTCGGGAGAGGGGTTGTACTCGAATCACAGGGAACCGTGGGTTTCGAAGCCAGCTCCTGTGTTGTTGAAGGCGCAAATGAGAGGCGTGGGTGAAGGCGATAAGGGGCAAGAGGTCGTGTGGGGATTTCGGTCAGACTGGCTTCGGCGGGGAAGAGTTCATTCTCCAGCCCTTCCCGTGAGATATAGACGGGGCTCGCTTGTTTGGCGAATTTGGGATGGGCCAGGACTGGGAGGTGGCTCGTGTTGGGATTTCCGGTCGGGCCAGCCTCGAGCAAGTGTTATCTTCGGTGGAGGAGTGAGACGGGGGGGGGGAATGGAATTTGTCTTCTACGCCCGTTTGGGAGGGTTGGGGGTGAGGGATCCTGCGCTGGCGGGGGATGGAGAGGTTGGTTCCTTGTCCGATGTGCCGTCGGACGGGCTCGGCTGGGGAGACTCGTCCTTCGGTTTGATGCGAGATGTGGGGGGCGAAAATTGTCTCCCACGCCCGCTTGGGATGTGCGTGTGGGGTGGGGAAGATCGGGAGGGGGGTCGTTTTCGGATTCCGGGTCGGGCCCGATTCGGCATCGGGGACTTATTGTCAGTCGTGGAGTGTGGAGTGAGATAACAGAGCGTGTTTTTACCTCTCTCGCCCGCCTGGGATGGGTTGGGATGGGAGGGCCTGCGCGCCAGCGAGGGATGCGGAGAAAGGTGGTTTTCAGATTGCCGGTCTGGCCTGCCTCGGCGGGGAGACTTCGTGATTCTATTCCCCAAGCACTGCTTGCATCTACCCCCCGTGCAAAAAGCAACTGGTGTTTTTCTACACACCTCCCCCCCCACCCCCCGAATTTCAATGTTCAACGCGGTGCCGATTTTTGTTGTTGAACTTCGCCGGTCGCGTGATCAACATTGAAATGGGGGACTGGGGGGCTCACCAAACACCAATTGCTTTTCGCACGGGGTTGTAGTGGTTCTCGTTTTTTTGCCATTAGGAACTGGGCTTCTAGCGGTCCGGTGGATCCGTGGTCGCCGTCGCCGCCCCGTCGCCGCCTCGTTGCCGCCCGTCGTCTGGGCCTGTCTGGCGGCTTCGTGGTCGCCGTCGCCGCCCCGCCGCCACCTCGCCACCTCTGCACAAGCCCCGCCACGTTCCTCTCCCCGTAGTTTTACAAGCCGGAAAGGGGGGGGAAGCCGTCAACGTCAACCCCCGCCCCTCTCCCCCCCCTCGTAAAAAAAACGGGACCCCTGGGATCCGTGGCCCCTACGGCCCCCTGGAGGCACCCAAGACGCCCCAAGAGGCCCCGGCGAGAATGCCAAAATCATAGATTCTACCAAGGTTTTGGCCACATGCTGGCCTCCTGGGGGGGGGGGGGCACTGATTAAGATGGCTCCAAGAGCGCCCGGGAGAGCCCAAGATGACCTCCAAGATGGCTTCAGATATCCCAAGATGCTTCAAGATGGCTCCCAAGATGCTCCAAGAGGCTCCAAGACCGCTCCAAGACGGCTCCAAGTGGCCAAAGAACTCCCCCATGAGGCCCCGAAGAGGACAAACTCCTTCCAAAACCTTGGGGAAATCAATGCTGTTGCTTTCTCGCCTTTTCGCTTCCGATGGCCATCCGAAGCCTCAAGATCGCTCCAAGATGGGCCAAGAGGGCCCAAGAGAGGCTCAAGAGAGCCCCAAGACGGCCCCAAGAGCGCCCAGGAGCGCTCCAAGAGCGCCCCGAGAGCGCCCCAAGAGGCGACTTTTGGGGCTCCCGAGGGGCAGCGCAAATTAATGCTCCCCTCTTGTTTGATCGATGCCCTCCAAGATGGCCCCCAGAGCGCCCCCAAGGCTCCCAAGAGCGCCTCAATTGGCCCCCAAGAGGCGCCCAGAAGGCCCCAAGAGGCGCCCAAGAGGCCTCCAAGAGGCTCCCAAGAGACCCCCAAGAGGCCCCAAGAGGCTTCCCGAGACGCTCCAAGAGGCCCCCGGGACCGCCAAGAGGCCCCCAAGACGCAAGAGAGGCCCAAGAGAGCCCCAAGACGGCCCCAAGAGCGCCCAAGAGTGTCCCAAGAGCGCTCCAAGAGGGACCATTCATCTGCGCTGGATGGGCCGGTGGGGTTACTTTTTGGTCGCAGCCGCAAGCGAAGGCACAGGCGGCGTCAAGGGTCGACCAGGGCTAATTATGGGCGGAACCTAACCGGTGGGGCGGTCGCG